CCCGCCGCCGCCACCGGGGCCACCGGCGGGGCCGCCCCCGCCGCCACCGGGGACCCACCGGGCAGCGACGCTCCCCCCGGCGGCGGCCGCACCGGCACCGGCGGCGGCTTCAGCAGCGGGGCCACCGGCGGGGCGGCTGCGGCGCTGGGCAGAGCGGAGAGCCGGCCCGGAGCCCTCCCGGCCCCGCGCCTCTTCGCAGACCACCCGCCGCCCCGACACCCTGCCCGGTCCCGAGAGCAACCGGGATAAACTGGGGACACACACACACACAGTGCGGCGCTGCACCGCCGGGGATGCGCAACAGCCCATGGGCGCACCACCGACGCGGGGGGCCCCGGCGGGACCAAAAGCGTTGCTGGCAACGGAGCATCCCGGGCGGCTCGGCCCCGGTCTGCACGGGACGGCCCCGCCGGGTCCCCGCGCCCACCTGCCCCCTGTTCCCGCACCCGCGCCCCCCGCGGCCCCCGCCCCGCACAGCCCGAGATAGGTTGAAGGCTGCCGGCACCTAGTGGCTACTCGGGAAAAGCGGGAGCGGGCGGGACCCCAGGGAGCCCCGGCATCCCCCGGGACCGCGGTCCCGCCAGTCCCCGCAGCACCGGGAGGGGGTGGCACGGCGGGAGGCCGGGAGATGGTGGGGAGCGGCCCCTGTGCCCGGAGGGAAGGTCCCCGAGCGTCACCCGGGGCTGATGACCCCGGAGCTGCGCCCTGGGGCATCTGAGCCAGCATCGGGCTTGGGGTAGCCCGGGGAACCCGTCTGGGTGCGGCAAGGGGGTCGTGGGCACTGCAGCGAGGTCTTGGACATGGCAGGGGTGGCCATGTGGGGCCCTGGTGTGGGGGTCAGTGTGGTGGGTGGGATAAGAGGAGCAGAGCCGCCTGGAATGCAGGGCCTGGGCTGAGAACCCCCAACTTGTGTCACAGGTGAGCATATCTAATGCTCAAACTGGTATTTTGAGGCTTGAGTGCCCGCACGGGTGGCACTGGTGGCATTGCCACAGGTGCTCTCAGGACAACTTTCTCTCCTCCTGTGCCGGTAAGCTGGACAGTGCCAAGGACAGGCAGGACAGGGACAGGCAGGTTCTTTGTCCCCCACTCTCCCCAGCCCCCCTTCTCCCCTCTCAGCCCCAGCACGGGCCCCATAAGGCATCATCACATGGTGCTGCTCTGAGCCCCTGCCCTGCCTGGCCCTGTGGCCATGACTCAGGGCAGAGGCACCAGCCTTGACTCGGTGTCCCAGTAGGGACCAAACCCAAACAGGTGCCCGGCCCCGCTCAGGCTGCAGCACCTTATCAGGCCTTGGCAGTGCCGCGCGCCCGCTGGGGAGGCTGTTGTGTCTGCGGACGCAGGCAGCGCCAGCGTCCCCTCCTCTGCCCACGCACTGCTCCTCCAGGTCCCTGTCCCAGCACCATCCTGTGAGATGGAGCAGGGCTGGGCTGGTGCCCCCCACAGCTGTGCTGCTCCCACCCCAACCACAGCCCTGTGGCCACAGAGGGGGCTCAGTGCTGGTGTTTGGTGCTTGGTGCAGCCCAGCTCCCTGCCTGTGACGGGACAGCCCTGTGCCCCCAGCCCTGGTGCTCAGCACCCGCCGGATGCGGTCCGTGGGGTGCGGTGCCGGGGCGGGCGAGGGGCGTGTCAGGGGCCGCTGTGATAACTGCGGGCGCTGTGTGGGGCTGCGGGCACAGACGGAGCAGGGAGCGAGACGAGCCAAGGACCCCCATCCTGGGCAGCAGCCAGGCCCAGAGGCAGCGCCATGGGGTCCGGCAGCGCCCGGGGCCTCCTCCGCACCCTCTGCATCCTCCTGGTGCTGGCCGGGCGCCTGTGCCCTGCCACGGCCCAGTGGTTTTACCTGGGCTCGGAGGACACCACCCCGGATCCCGGCACCAGCCTCACCGCCCCCACCCCGGATGGGGAGGAAGGTAGGCAGGGTGTGATGGGGGCAGCACCCCAAATTCCTGCACCCCAGCATGGAGAGGGCACTTGGAGGGTGGAGGGTGAGGTGTGGGGTGCTGGGGTCTGGGGCTGCTGGTGGCAGTACTGTGGCCATGGCAGGTGCTGGGAACTGGGAGTGCTGTGCCACCCCAGCCCCTCTCCAGCCTTGCCACCTTTTACCCCATCACCTCTTTGCTCCTGTAGATGCAGAGACCAGCATGGAGCCCACGGGGAAGGTGCTGCTGAGCAAACCCCCTCTTGCGAAGGCCCCCAGACGCCGGGACCACCTCAACAGGGGAGCAGCAAAAGGGCCAGGCCATGCCCCACCACGCACACGAGGCCAGGTGCCTTTCTCTGGGCAGCATCCCCCTTCCAGCTCCTCCAGCCCTCCCAAAACTACCCAGCTGCTGCCAGGCACCTTGCCATGTCCTTCCCCTTATCCGTGCCCTGCCCGCACACACCAGCCTGGGCAGTGTGCCTTGCTCTGGCCCCGAGTGCGACTCCCCTTGGAAAGGAGCCACAGCAGCTCCTGGTGTCCCCCACATGGCACAGCTCCACAGCAGCACTGGGGCTGGGCCCCCACCCTGGGCTGGAGGCAGCCACGACTGCGGGAGGGTCCCATCTGCCCCCCGGGATCCCCCGAACCCCACACTGAGCACCCCCTGTCCACCCCAGCAGCACCGACCCACGGCCACCCCAGAGATCTTCGAGGGGAGTGCAGTGGAAGAGGAGTTTCTGCAGATCCAGGTGGTGGAGGGGTCCTGATCCCCAGGGGGATGAGGGAGCAGCCTGCGATGGGCACCCTGGCGAGTGGGAGGGACTGGCAGGGATGGTGCTCGGGGGTCTCACACTCAGCCCTTCCTCTCCTCCACACAGACGACAACGAAGGGGCTGCCCCGGGGGGTGCCCCCAACCCCGGAGACGGACCCTGCCCTCCAGGTGAGGAGTGGGCACAGGGCACCCCTGTTGGACCCAACAGCCAGGTTCAGGTCCCTCAGCCCACCTCTCTCTCCCTCTCCAGGTGCACAACGGCTCTGGCTGTGTCTGCCCCGTGCGCCCCGGCCCTCCCGGCCCTGCCGGCCCTCCCGGCCCAAAGGTGGGGTGGTCCTTTCCAGGGAGGGGCAGGGGTGTGCAGGAACCCACAGAGACACACTGCGAGATGCTCTTTTGTCTGTGCAAAACCCTTTTTGCTCAGGATTTGGAATGTGGCTTTGGGGTCTGAGGTGGGGGGTGACTCGGGTGGCCATGGGCAGGGGGGCTGCAGGTCCCCCTGGTGGGCTCCAGTGGAGGGAAGTGCCAGGAGTCCGGAGCCAGGGTCTGTCTTTCCTCAACAGGGACAGAAAGGCGACCGAGGGTTCCCCGGAGAGAGAGGCCAGCCCGGAATCTCAGGGGACAGAGGGAAGTCTGGCAGCCCAGGACAGCCAGGTCACCAGGGTCCCCGGGGGCGCCCGGGTCCTCCAGGGCCCCCGGGGCCCCCGGGATCCCCAGGCACCTGGGGAGCCAGGAGCCCACCCGCGTCTGCCGCCCTCCCCGAGGGACTGGAGAACGAGGTGAGCGCCGGGGCGGGGACACGGGCGGGTGATGCCGGTGCTGCCCGCGGTGTCGCTCCCGGTGGGACCGGCGGGGACAGGGAGGGCTGGGGCGGATGGGCAGCCCAGGGGAGGGGGCCAGGGCATGGGACACGGCGGTTCACTGACCCTGCTCTCTCTCCTTTCCCTCCAACCTGACGAGCAGCTGGGACCCTCCAGCCCTGTGGGAAATCCGGGACCCCCAGGCCCCCCCGGGCTGCCCGGCATGCCCGGACCCCCAGGCTACCCAGGCCATGATGGCCCCCCGGGGGTCCCTGGGCGGGAGGGAAAGCCGGGACCCCCCGGCCCTCCAGGGGCTGTGGGACCACCCGGTTTCCCCGGGGCTGAAGGAACTCCAGGGTCTCCAGGCTCGGCTGGGCCAGACGGACCCCCGGGGGCACCAGGGCTCCCAGGGCCTCAGGGTCCCCCCGGGGTGCCAGGGCACGAAGGACCCCCTGGTCCTACAGGACCTGCATCACTCCCTGGCAAACCAGGGCTCCGAGGGGAGCCAGGATTCCCAGGACTAAAGGTAAGGGCGTCCCAGCCCAGCCCATTCACGGCCCTGGGGTGGGGCAGGGTATCTGGGCTCACCCGGCCCTCGCCCTGCCCCGGGGGAGCAGCCCCCAGCACTGAGCCCTCGGAGGGCTCTGGGGCAGCCCCAGCCCTGCCACCGTGGGGACTGGGGGCACACGGGGGCTCAGCCCCCACGCTCAGCACCTTGTGCCTTGTGCCCATAGGGTGAGAAGGGTGAATATGGACTGCCAGGCTTGCCGGGAAGCCCTGGCCGGACCGGAGAGACAGGACCCCCAGGCATGCCCGGTCCCATGGGGCCTCCAGGACCACCGGGGGACTACAGGGTGAGTAGGGGGTCCTGGGCTGCAGGTGCTGGGCTGGGGGCACCCCACCCTCATCCCAATGTCCTCTCCTTGTAGTGTGACTTGCACCACGGAGGGCACCGTGGATTGGCCGGGACACCGGGCCCCAAGGTGAGCCGGGCAGTGGGCACTGCGGGCAAGGGTCCTGGCAGGGGTGAGCTGGGCAGTGGGCACTGCAGGCAGGGGTTCTGGCAGGGGTGAGCCGGGCAGTGGGCACTGCGGGCAGGGGTCCTGGTAGGGATGAGCTGGGCAGTGGGCACTGCGGGCAGGGGTCCTGGTAGTGAATGGGTGTACCCTGGGGCATGAGGCACAGCACAGTGAGGGGGGCTGGGGAGCCAGAGGACCTCCCAAGCTGGGTGCTGACAGGATCTCTCGCTTTCCTTCCAGGGAGAAAAGGGTGACCCCGGAGACCCGGTTTGTAGCCACGAGCAGTGGCAGGAGGGAAACTGGCTGGGGGGGGTCCCCACCCCCACACCTGAGTGTGCACCCCTGAGTCCCCTGTGCTGCCTCTGCTCCCCCAGCACCCTTTTCCTCACCCTGGAGGCAGCACCAGAGACCCCAAATGGGCTGAGGTGCGGGGTGGGGGGCGAGTAACACCATTCCCTGAGGCACATGAGAACACGCACGGGCACACACGTGTGCATACGTGTGCCAGCACACAGTGCACCCACACATGCACCCAGCAGTCCCTGTCCCCAGCACCCAGCTCAGGCTCTAATCCTGCCTCTCTATTTGCCTCACCCAGGGGTGCTGCTACAGGGAACAAGGGTGCAAACCAGGCCACCTCCCCTTCCCCAGCACTGGCAGCCAGCCCAGCTCCTGGGGGTCCATCAGAGGGTACCAGACGGTGAGTGCTCAGGGGGAGGGACCCCAGCCTGGCCCTGGGGACATGGATCACCCCATCAGCAAACCCACAGGGCCCATAGCCCAACTGGGGTGGAGGAATGGAGGATGGAGAGGGGGAGAATGGAGGAATGGAGGATGGAGGGTTGGAGGATGGAGATCAGTCTGAGTCTTTTCCCTCTGCCTCTGCAGGACAGCAAAGAGGAACCAGAGATTTATGGAGCGATCATCCCCCATGTGAGAGTCACTGCCTGGCTGGGGGCTGCACTGCCCCAGCCTGGGGATGTTCAGCCCTGGGAGGGAACAGGAGTGGGAAGGATGAGGGGCAGCAGCGGGGTGTCTTACAGCTGCCCTACAAAAGGCATCACCAAAACAGCCCAATCTCCACACTGCTCTCCTGCAGGGTATTCGAGGTCCCCCCGGCCCCCCCGGGCCCCCAGGCCCCCCAGGCCCCCCTGGCCCACCAGGTCTCCTCTACCTCAACGTAAGGCTCAGCGCGGGTGTGCACACTCCTGTGTCAGAGCGCACACACATGTGGGTGTGCACAGCACCAGGGCCCCCCCAAACCTGCCTGTCTTTGCTTCCAGAGGGTGTACCCAGTCCGT